TGCTACACTGAAAAGCCACTTTCAACTACAAGTAGCACAAAGTAACAAGGGAAAAAGAGAGAATTAGCTACAGATATTCCTTCCCTCCTTAATGCTGTCGAAAATAGCAGGAACCAGACAGATTTGTGCAGGTTGCTATCCTGCTTATGGTGACGGCCATTCTCTTGTTGATTTCTAAAACCTTGTTGACATGGAATTGTGAGGGAGAAAGTGCAAGATCCTGCTGCGTGGTAAGCACTCAATAGTTTCAGCAGCTTACGCCACGTACCACTCAGTGGTGCTTCAGGTAGGTAAGGAAAGGAAGCTGACGATGTCTTTCAGGTGAGGAGAATGCTGAACTGTGCCCAAGCAACCAAAATAAAACTATGAATGAACCAAAAAAGGCACAGATTAACCACTCACTGGCACATTTTCATTGCTGCTGTTTAAATTTATTCTCTGCAGAATAGTTACTAGACCTTTTGTGTCCCAGGTGTTCACCATTATTATTACTGTCACACACAGGCATCAAAACTAAGAAATCAATTATTGCCCTGCTGTGCATGGTTGTTCTACATTTCCCTTAAAAGAAAGGGAAAAAACAAACAAACAACAAAACAGATTATTTAAAAGCAGTATCTTCTTCAAAGGTGAACTCTGAAGTGGAAGTTGAACCATGTCCAGAAGTATGGTCAGACGTTGCTCAAGTTAGACATGAGGTTTTGCACAAACCTGAGTTGCACAGGACCACAGCGCTCATCCAGTTCAATCCCCTGCCATGTGCAGGTCGCCAACCAGCAGACCAGGCTGCCCAGAGCCACATCCAGCCTGGCCTTGAATGCCTCCAGGGATGAGGCATCCACAGCCTCCTTGGGCAACCTGTTCCTTTCCTTTTCGTGACAGGGTCTATTGCAGAGATGAGCTGAGTGTATGGTGACTCAAGTCCTCTACTACTGAAAGCTTTTACCAAAATATGTGAGGCACTGGGATAGTAATGGATGCTACAGATCAAAATTAATAAATGCTAGAGATGGCAGTGTGTTCCCTGATTTACCTCATGAGCATCTCTCATCTTGAGATTTTATATTATGGACTTTTTTCTCCTTCAGTAACTGTTTATCTGTTCTTTTACAGGGAAATCTGGGCTCGGTTTCTAGCTTTTGAAAGCAACATTGGTGACCTTGCCAGTATCCTCAAAGTTGAAAAACGGAGGTTTACAGCATTCAAGGAAGAATACGAGGGTAAAGAAACAGCTCTGCTTGTAGACAGGTATAAGTTCATGGACTTGTACCCTTGCTCTGCAAGTGAGCTTAAGGCTCTTGGTTATAAGGTAAGTAAGTGGGTAATGCCTCCTTTTACTGTTACTGGTTTCAGTCATAGCAAACTTGAGCGGTTCCTTCTTTAGCGCTTGTTTTTTTTTTCCTGTTAGAATCTTCCTCCTTTGTTTCAATTGTAAATGATAATTAAAGTGCTTCAATGCCGCTTTTTGGAATTTAAATTTGAGGCCAGAAGCCTGTGCCTAGTGGTCTCCCATCACATTTCTGACCACATGTATTTAAGTGGTGCATGAGTCCCCTGCCAGTCCATAGAGCTTTGGAAGTCAGTAAGATGGGAGTTGTGTGTTAATAGACTGCCAGAGGCAGAAACAGCTCTGCTGGAGAAACTGCTCTTTCCCTTATGTAAGTAGGAACAGAACCTTCAGCTCCTATCTCCAAACAAGTGCCTCAACTTCCTTTTATTTCTTATATAGATAAGTGATTTCTGAGAAGAAAAAAAGGTCAGTGAAGTTAGCAAAACAGCCGAACTGTTGGGCTTCACAATCTTAAAGTGATCTGATAGGTGGGAACGAGTCACAGTGAGCCACTGAACGTTTTTGTCTTAAGGCATTGCAACAGAGATATTTTGAAGTCACAGTTGTGTTTGAGAGAGCGTAGGTCTGAGATGTACCTAAGACAATTCAGGCCAGGGGCTGGTTCGGTTTCTTGTGACATACCATAATAGAATCACTTGAAGTGATGCACGTGAACTGCCATACAATTCATTTATTTTCCAGCTAGAGCAAGCTAGAGAATGAAATGAGGGAGAAATGGTCATTGTGAAGCTTAATGGTCTGCACCTGTTCACCTAAATCTTCTCAACCTAAAAATGGTGCCATTCAAAAATGCTAAATACGGCTCCATTCTGAAACAAAACCACGTGTTTCCATTCCCAGCTGAACAGTCCCACTGTAGGACTGCAATGTGTGATGACAATATGCAAGCTTTACCCAGATGGTCTTCTAAGAGGGCAGCTGTTGTTGTCATTATGATAAAGCGAGAAGAAATGAGTGGTCCAGAGAGATGTTTTGTTCTGCAGTTTAGACAACGTGGTAATGCCAAGTTCAGTGCTGTCTTGTTGGCTCTCACAGGACGTCTCCCGTGCCAAGCTGGCAGCTATAATCCCAGACCCCGTGGTCGCGCCGTCCATTGTGCCTGTTCTCAAAGATGAAGTTGACAGAAAACCCGAATATCCCAAACCAGACACCCAGCAGATGATTCCATTTCAGCCACGACACTTAGCACGTAAGTCAGAAGTTCAGTCTGCGGTGGCCGTGGTTTACCCAGCAACAGGCTATTGGCTGGGATGCTCAGCAAACCTAATCACACAGTCTGCCTCAGTCACACAGATCTGTTCTTAAATGTTAGGCTTTGCTTAAGTGGAGTGCTAAGGGTATGCGTGTATGTTTTACCCACATCTAAGGTCACATGAAAATAAGCACAAGTAGATTTTGTGTCTGGCAAGTGGTAATAACCTGTTGCATACACTGCTCATAGACTTTAGGTCAGTAACTCAACCATATGTAATTAGGCAAAAGTAACAGAGTAGTAATTATCCGCACCTAATAATAGAGCTGTTAAAGCAATACAAGGCTTGCTGTCTTGCACTGGATTCACATACTTTTTCTTCCCACAGCTCCAGGTTTACATCCTGTACCAGGAGGTGTATTTCCTGTTCCACCAGCAGCTGTCGTCCTAATGAAGCTCCTGCCACCTCCTATTTGTTTTCAGGTGAGCTCTGAAAGCTTAAATTTGTAGAAGTTGTTCTAATTGGACAGAACCACATTATATACGAACTCTATTTGAAATATCTCTTTTTTGTTTTATTTTTTTTTTTAAACAAAACAGGGTCCCTTTGTTCAAGTGGATGAGCTCATGGAGATATTTAGAAGATGCAAACTGCCAGACAGTAAGTCGTTTGTTCACTCTGCCGTCTGTGGTAGTGCGTATGATTCACTTTACATATGGATATTACTGTCTAAAACGCGGGCCTCCTGTATAGCTGCAGATGTATAATTATTATTTAAGAGCATATTGTTGAGTTGGCTGTGGTTGTAGGCTGGGGTCAATCTAGAGACGTTTGTTCAACTGTGCAGGAAATCAACATGAAGTAAAAAAAAAAAGCTGAAAATCACCAGCTGCTGCTTCAGTAACATTTCGGTGGTAAACATTAAAAGAAAGTAAGGTTTTCAGAACACCCCTTCAAAGAAGGCGGCAGTACATGTAGCAGCATAATAACTGTAATTAATTAAATTACAAATTTGCAGCGTGGTTACAGATTACCTAGCAGCAAGATATTAACGAAATGCTAAATGCATTTAGCAAACTTTGTTAGAGAAAATTCCAAGTCTTTGGTCATCTGACTTTGTGCCTTGGTCGACGTAACTCTGCCTGCACACTGAAGCAGTGCTTGAGAACAATTCCAGAACAATGTTCTGGAATGCTCCTACAATGAAGGTAGAGTTCTGACATGTACAAAGAGGACAGGTCTGTTTGCTGGGCTTCCATGGGAGATGACTCACGTGGTGCTTTTCATTCCTCTGCTGGCTGAAGAAGCAAATGATCAAAGAGAAAGCTAGGATTTGCTTTCTGTTAGAGGGAAAGTAAAACTCCTACTTAAATTATATATGGTATTTTGGAAGTTTTCTCTGTTCTTAACCAGAAACTGGCTTGCTGTGCATACTTGCTGCTGAGTCATGAACTAGGGCTAGCATTGCCCCAGTAGGCCCTGCTATTTTATTAAGCTTCCAAGCTGACCTCAGTATGTGGATGATGCAGCAGCATTTACTTCATAAGCAGTGCCTGCAACAGCTCCAAGTTTTAGACAGTTGAGACTTAATTCTTAAGATGTTTGCTTGCATTGTTCTGCAGATGTTATGTTCCTGAAAGCTCCAGAATGACTGTGTCTTGGTGTCCCCGTTGGCATGATTATTAATTTTTATTCCAAAAGCATGACTGCAACTGTACTCAGCTTTGCTGAAACAGCTTTCTAATCACAGATTTAATCTCTTTCTCAAGCTGTTGATGAAGCTGTACGGATAATTACTGGAGGCCTACCTGAAATAGCTGTGGAAGGCAATGGACCTGTGGAAAACAATGCTATGCTCAATAAGGCTGTCAAGAGATCAAACGAGGATTCTGACGACGATGAGGAGAAAGGTTCAGTAGTTCCCCCTGTACACGACATTTACAGAGCACGACAACAAAAGAGAATCCGGTGAAACAAGCTTGGAGTTCTACTGTGACAAGGACTTGCGTTGAGTTTGTCAGTCTCTTAAATGTAACGCATTTAAAAGGGACAGATGCAAAGAAAAAAAATCTTGAAAATGGTTTTGTTACTGTGGTGCCTCTCTTCTGTATGGTTCTTGACCCAAAAACAGACAGAACAATCTTAGAATGTGCTCTGAACAAAACTAGGTTTTCAGAACCAAAAGTGCAAAATGTCTAACTGCATTTTGTTCAAGGGTGTTCACATCTACCACTTGAAATCTTGTGGGTTTTCAGCAGTTTTATTTTAAAAACTGGATGGCTTATAATTGTGAAGCATTTTTAATTCACATTTTCTGGAAGACAGTTGTTCTCAGCTTTGTCCATGTAGTGTCCTGCCTTACCGGTCGTTTTTATTTATGGCAGAATGTTTGGAATCTGTTTTGTAGTTGAAAGTGGGAGAAAACATTCCTTTAAAATAAAAGGAGATCGATAACATCATGCCTCATTCTGCTTTTATTCAAACACAACAAATTACTTTTTAAATACTACTCAGCAACTTTGAAAGCAATGTTACCAAGAATTAAAACCATCACAGGAAATTGATCAGAGCGTACATACAGGAATTAGCTTTCTGTTCAGTTTCTCTAGAGGAAACAGTATTCCTTTACTTTGAATTCCAGGACTGTTTAAAGAAGTTACCAATGTAACACAGACCAGTTACAGGTCTGTAACGTGGGCTGGCCGGGAGTACTAGCCACTGCAGCCTGTTCCTGGACACCTGCATTAGTCCTCCACTTAGCTTGCACATGATTAAGTGTTAATATATTAGCTACTGAGGTTAACTGGTTACTTTTAAATGAGCTAATAAAAAAAGAAAAGCCATATGAACTTTTGAAGCAGTTACTATATATACTTTAGATTTTAACTTGTAATGGACTATTCAGGGCTGTGCTCTCCTGAGACTGTAAGAACACCCACGATGGACAGGGAATTCAGGTACTCAGACAAGCTGAAGGACATTCCCACCACCAGCAGTAGAGATAACTGTAGGTCATTGCTCCTATCTACCAGAAAGAAAAGATGGAACAGCGCATGTATGAATACTGACATAGAGGTAAGGTACAGCAGCCATATCAATCCTACCTTTTTTTTTGCTCTGTCACTTAATTACATCTGCCTATTGCTTTTAAAGACAATGCAGAGAAACTATTTGTCAATGACAATCATTAAACAGTGACCAGGGAAAAGTCACTAATGTGATTTTTCGTGGGAACCTCTTACAGCCTCTTTTAGATCTTTTCCAGTTGCCAGGCCTACAGAAGCTTAAAGAAACAGAGGCACTCCAGGTTTCCAGTGTGTAACCTCCAAAGGCAAGCCCAGAGCCAGGTGTGAGCACTGCATTTTTTCCTATGCTAAGCCCAGGACAGATCCCTACTGAGAGAAGAGATGAACTTACTGGATATACCCTGTGAGCAGTACACGTGCATGAGCAGCAGCACAGTCTGTGCTTCCATGTCACAGTAGGCTGGAGTAGGCAGTCACAGACTGGGAGCACTCCAGTAAGTACCACCTTACCTGCCCATAACTCAGTCCCACTCATTCTGCCATCAGTCACATGCTTTTCTAAACACTGCGCTGTTCTTCCCTGCATCCCTGAGACCAGCACCTCACAACATCCAACTGCTTGTCCTATGCTTAGTTTGGAGGCCTTTAAAAGAAGCCTCTGGGGAATAGTAAAATAACAGCATTCGGTTCTAAACTTCAGCAACTCTCAATTGCAAAAAGGAAAACAGGTTTGTCTGTTTTGTATTGTTTTTTAAACTGCAAACATGTTTTGGGTAGTGCCTGTATTACCCAGACTACTGAATTAATTTTTTTGCAGCTCCAGAGCTAGAGACTGTATTTCAAGATGGATTCCGGACTAATAACAAAGTACAGTAAGGAGCTGCAGAAACCTTGAAGACCTCTGTAGTATCCTGATTGCTGATGATATTGCTGATGATATTGATGATATTGCTGATGATACGATGTTAGGAGGATTGGCTGACACACCTGAAGGCTGTGTTGCCATTCAGCAAGACCTGGACAGGCTGGAGAGCTGGGCAAAAAAAATCCAGATGAGATTTAACAAAAGCAAGTGTAGAGTCTTGCATCTGGGGAGGATTAACTGCATGCACCAGTACAGGTTGGGGGATGAGCTGCTGGAGGGGAGCTCTGCGGAAAGGGACCTGGGTGTCCTGGTGGACGACAGGTTGGCCATGAGCCAGCAGTGTGCCCTTGTGGCCAAGAGGGCCAATGGCTTACTGGGGTGCATTGCAAAGAGCGTGGCCAGCAGGTCGAGGGAGGTGATCCTCCCCCTCTGCTCTGCCCTGGTAAGACCTCATCTGGAGTACTGCGTCCAGTTCTGGGCTCCCCAGGACAAAAAAGACAGGGATCTCTTGGAAAGAGTCCAGCGGAGGGCCACGAAGATGGTGAAGGGCCTGGAGCATCTCTGCTATAAGGAAAGGCTGAGTGAACTGGGTCTGTTCAGCCTTGAGAAAAGGAGACTGAGAGGGGACCTGATCCAGGTCTATAAATATCTAAGGTGTGGGGGGCAGAATGGTGAGGCCAGACTGTTTTCAGTGGTGAGTGGAGACAGGACAAGGGGAAATGGCCAGAAACTGCAGCATAGGAAGTTCCGCACAAACATGCGCAAGAACTTCTTTACAGTGAGGTGACGGAGCACTGGAACAGGCTGCCCAGGGAGGTGGTGGAGTCTCCTTCTCTGGAGATGTTCAAGACCTGCCTGGATGCCGACCTGTGTGATCTGCTGTAGGGAACCTGCTTTGGCAGGGGGTTGGACTCGATGATCTCTGGAGGTCCCTTCCAACCCCTACAATTCTGTGATTCTGTGATCCTGTGACCATATCAAAAACCCACTCTACTTTTTGTTGGCTAACCAACCTACTCCCTTTTGAGCTACCAAAGACATCCACACTGCTATTTGAGTAAACTTGGCCAAGGGAAAAGTGATCTCTTACTACAGAGTTTTGCTGTTAGGGTTGGTTTTTTCCCCCTTGGAAGATGCAAGGTTGTAATGAGTGAGAAAAAAACCCACATTGCAGTTGCAGAGGCTAATACAGAACAAAAGCTCTTGCTTAACCCCCCTGCCTCTGAACTCACAGCAGTTTCAGCCTGCTGACATTCAGGAGAAAGCCAGCAAAGAAAGCATCAACACTGATTCCCAATCAAGCGCTTTCTTTTAGATGGGCTGTTATGTTGGTTGATTAGTTGATTAATGAAATGAACCTGGATGTCAGCAATAAGAGGGCCATGTATTCATTTCACATCACTGGTTTTGGTGGGGTTGTTTTTTTGTTTTTTTTTTTTTTTTTTTTAGAGAAAACAACATTTTGGGTACAGTCTAGTGTTTTGGATGCTTACTGTTTATAATTATGAACTTAGTAATCAAAATTTGATGAATTTATGAAGACAATAATGGAGCTCAAGAACTAGAGGAAAACTTGAACTGCACTTACCTCCTAGCTGAGTTTAAAACTGCAATAAGGCTGTAAGATCACTGAGCTCTTCTGTGAACCCTCGTCTATACAACACATAACTAATGAAATTGAAGACCTTAAATATTTAAGGTTTTAAAATCATCTCTGTAATGTAAAAAAGAATAAAATCTTCTATTAAAAACATTCCTTGCGTATTCAAACTAATATTAAATAATGCACTTCCCACTACAATTTAAACTCACTCGCACTTCTAATAGTGCTCTGCACCTCCTGGATATCTTTGAAGACATGACTGAAAATGCACCCATCTCAAATAGTAGTTTTAAAAAACAAGTAGAAGTTTTGTCCTAAAGTTTAACACACTTAAAGTCCACCTTCTGTAAATGGCACAGATTAACTTCAAAATCAGTATTTCACATAAAAAGGAGTAAACTACTAGCAAAAAAAAGGTAAGAAACGCCACTTTTATCAAAACATTTTAGCTCTGCCTTTCTGAAGTCTTTACAGGAGATAAATACAGCTGCAATCTGTAAGATTGCCACCTTGTTAAGTACTGTACAAAGCAGAGGACAGTTACCCAATAACCAGAAAATTTGCTACAAAAATACACTCTGTTTCTGTAACATCTGCAGGTAAACAGCAAAAAAAAAACCTATTAAAAATGCAGAAAAATGCTGAAAGAAAAACTTAGTAGCCTACCACACCAACCATAATGATACAGTAAGTGCTGTTTGGCTTTGTTTTTCGCCTGTTAAGGTTTCTCCTACCTAGAGTTTTAGCTTACTGAAGTCTTTAAAGTAAGATCTTTTTGAAAAGCCACATTTCCCTGCAGGGAAGGACCACTGCTAACCTGCTGTGGATGAGTGAAACCAAATTCACGACAAATGAGAATAAAAAACACTAAAATGAACCACTTAAGAACAGAGTTTGGCTGTTTAACTTTTCCTACATAGCACCTGCCTGGAAATCTTATAGCCAGAAAACTACCACAACACTCCCTCACAAAAGCTGTATACTTACATTAAAAATGCATCCCTCCTTCATCACTTATCTCAGAGCCCCTATTGCAATTCACGCATTTTCCTCATCGGGCAGCACGAGTGACTTAAAAGGAAATAGTATTCACATGGAGAGCTGTTTTCCTAGACAAACACTGGTGCAATTTTTCAAAATAGCTGATAAAATTAATACTGCATTGGTACACAAACTGTGTTCACGATTCCTCCGGCATCCCTACAAGCTGGGGTTCTTCCTTAGTCAGTATTTTGCCAAGAACAGCATCGTAGTAAGGACTGAAGACCATCTTGTTGTAGTTGACAAGACGAACATACTTGACAGCAATCTCTTCCAGCTCTCTCTGAATAGGGCCTAATCCTCCAGGAACAGTCGGCACCGCTTTCTGGTGACTAGATGCAAGACAATGCTCCAGAAACTTCTGAATTCGAGAATCTGGAAAAGTTAGACCAAGAGTTTTGGTTTGCCTTCAGAAGAGATAGACAGCTAGAAAGATTCTAATCTCATGTAAAACACAGAGCACAGCAAGCACATACTTGAAATAAATTAAAATAGAAACCATGCATGACGTGCCACTAACAGTTTTATAAATAGAGACACTTTGTCATGTGAGAACCGAGTATTTTTGTCAAAGCATACCTATTAGTTTACAGATGGTGTTATCAGGGTTGGCCACTGCTTGGATCTGTCCTTTCAGCACAGTTTCTTTCTCAGCTGTGAACGGTGCAAAGCCATGCTGGGAAAGGCAGCTGTTGACTTCAGCACACACCTTCTCACCAATGGTGGCCAAAGACTCCTTCAGGTTAAAGGAGCTATGGAATGTGGAGTAGAGCACTGCTTAGCTACTGGAGTTGTTCACACTTTCCCCATCTTTTGAAAATAAAGTATCCAATTACAGTTGTCTTATTTATCGAACATAGTGGAAGAAAAGTAATCCAGATAACACAAGAATAATAAAGTAAATTTTATGGACATGAAAGTCACGTTCAGCTGTAACACAAGGGGATGGGATAGCATTAGAAAAAAAACCTTCAGCCTGTGCAATCCATACACGTATGAGCTGATTTTCAGTCTACAGCCATCTCAGAGCAACATGAAGAACAAGTGTCAACCCACAATGTGCACAGCAACCTCAGCCTGGGGGCAGCTAATTTGTGCCATTTGTCTCAATGGAGCCCAGCCAAAACTGTGAGCAGAGTTTGCTGCTTGTACACACACAGCTCTAAAGCCATTAGTTACTACTCCTACTTATCCACGATACCAGTTATTGACATGCATTTTACTTACTGCATTAAGCAGAACATCTAAAACAATATTAACACTGCACAGCTACAGGAAATCAGCTCTACGCTGGTATGGTCAGTAACACGATGTTAAAAAATGAGCATGCCCTATCAAAAAGCTGGCTCTGGATCAGTAAGATAAATAAAAACTGTCAGCCTCAGCTAATAAGAAGCCCCCATCACTTCCTCCGTGTATTGCACTCCATAACCAGAGCGAGGCTGAAACTGATCGTTTGGTGGAGCCATCATGAAACTGCAGCTGACCATGTGAATAGGGCTACTCAGTACTCACGGGAGATGCATTCCTGTCAGCAGCACCCTGACAATGGTTTTGATTTTCTCAGCAAATCCAGGCACATCGATGAGAGCTGCGCCCGCTGCATTGAACGTGACCAGAAGGACAGTTCCAGCCATGAGGAGCTGCTCCAGTTCCAGCTGTATTTCCTGAAAGCGCCTCTGGTCCATGAGCACTGTCTGCAGAGAACAGGAAAGCCAGCACAGGATGAGATCTGTACACTAGGCTGTGAAATGAAATGGAGATGCCAGCTAAGATAATTCAGGTAACTCTAAGACCTTGACTCTTTCTCAGTATCTGCCAAAAGCAAATATCAAAAAAAAAGTCTCATTCTATTTAGGTAAGATGTCTAGAGAATAAGACAGTAATCAAAACTACGTACTAGGCTGAGAAAAGTTCAGCACAGAAGGCTCTCAAGATGATACTGGTTAGTCTTTAGCTGTCCCTTCCAGTCCAAATTATCTCTGATCTGATCCTATGGATATAGTGTGGATTACGACGAGCTCTTCTCCACGAGGTTGGAAATACAAACATGCATTTTAATATGTAATGCACAATACTACTCTATAGATACATTGCAATATTCTGCTTTGTGATACCAAACACTGGTCTGTTTGACCAAATCAGACTCCACTGGACATGCTGACACAGTGACCAGGCTCAAACACTCTGGAGAGAGCTGCAAGAAATTCACTAACAAACCATCATCAAAAGAAGTCCTGAGGAAAGGAAGAGCACTGCTCACGTTACAGATGTGCAAAATGAAGGCAGCTCGACAAGACTAGTGGTGTGCTCTCACACAGCTATTGCATTAATTCTCAAGAAAAATGAAAGCTTTAACAGTGCCAATATCCCTACAACTACTGAGTTTGTGTTGCAAGCAAGTTTTAATCTGACAAATCCTGAAAATTCATATTGGTAAGAAACATTACGTGTTGAATAGTCTGAATTGGAATGCCTACATAAGCCTCTCAAATGGATTTAAAGGAACACAAAGATGATAAACTTTTCTGCCTTGTTGTTCCTATAAACAAGGAGCTGTTTATTTTTTCCCACCATGAGTTCCTGGCCCTTCTGCTCCAAAAAAAGACACGTGATCTCAGGAAACACCACATTCTACTGAATAACAGCCACCTTTGCTTTCTCCGTGACAATGTGAAATAGACACAGCAGCCTCGATTCCAAGGGGGGCTGGGAAAGTCTTTGAACCCAGATCTAAATTCTACAGCACAAAGAGGAACAGCTGAATGATGATAAAGCACCGAAGAACCAACTTCTGTATCAGAGTTTGGAAACTATGACAGATGCTGGACCAGTAGGAACAGCTACCAAAACCACAGTTAACGTATTCTCTGACTAACTGAAAGTCATTTACTCAAGAACTCCCTTAAACATTTTGTTTTGTCAGTTATTGTATTCCAGAGAAGATGTTTGCCCGAACTCGTTAACAAGACCATTCACATTCAAAGGAGAGCTGAGGGCTGCAGGCATGGAGGACCTACAGCCCAATGCCAGGCAATCCTGGGACACCCAGCGTTCTGCCCTACCTCAGGCAACTTCCATGAATTAATAAGCTGGAGACACAGACACAGAAAAGAGCAGCAGCTACTCAGCAGGCAAATATCAGGAACAAAAGGGAAACAACTGTTTCTTTTTCAACTGAGTACTGAAAAAGAAATACCACAAGAACTTTCAATCAAGAGATCAATGTTTTAGTGCTGTAATTTCAGTTGGCTACATTCCAAGAGCAGAAAAGTAGTAGAACAAGCATGGAAATCATTTTTCTTGTTGGATACCTACTTCTGGGAAAGGCCTGTTTGTGTGATCCCACTTCAACAGCTTCAGATATGCCTGATTCTGTATGGCAGTGGAGCACAACGCAGCAGCTCCACCAGCAGCACCAACAGCACTGCTGGGGGGAGGGAACTTTTTATGTCTCAGCTTTGCAAGATCATCTGCTGCTTCCTGCAACCAGTCTGTGACAAGGTCTAAAGAATCTGTAGGAGATAAAAAGTCTCGTTCAGGAAATTCCTTGTCAAAGTTAGTTTTTTTTCTATCACTAGTTTCCAGATAAAGCCATTAGTTACTACTTCTAATTATCCATGATACCAGTTGTTGACATGCATTTTATTTACTGCATTAAGCAGAACATCTAAAACAATATTAACACTGCACAGCTACACGAAATCAGAAGTGAGAAGATGCTATGATGCCCCTCATCAACTGAAACAAAACTAACAGCCACGTGCTAAGTGCAGATATATTGTTTCTGTACATTTTTCTCAAACCTCAGTTTCGGGGCACAAGGTGTCATTTACCACATGAATTACATCAAAATTAATGTCAAATCTGATTTATTTCTATGATCTACAAGCAAAGACACACCACGTACTGAGAGGTCAGAGGGGAAAAAAGAAAGAAACAAAGTCATACTTGGCTGTTTCTCAAGAAACTCCTGAAACTTCTTTCTTTCATATTCAGCAGACTGCTGCATTAATTTTGGCCTAATACTAGTGATAGCGAAGTTTGCCATATCCATTTTCATTAGGTCTAACACAGAGAAAATTGCTCTAAACAAACAAACAGAAAAAGTTATTCAAGGCTGCAGAAGTGTAAGAGGTTATTTGTACAAGATTTATTGCAGATTGCCTAAGGAAAGAACAAAAACACACGTGGGAAACGTTAACAGGATGGTTAATTTCAGAGACAGAAAAAAAAAGCTTGAGCAAGCATGCACACACATGCATCTCCCAAATACAAAATAAGACTTGTTCTCCTGAAGAAAGGTCTCCACAGAATTAACTTCACTAGCCCCACAGGATAAATTCCCCAAATTTTACAATGTAAAGCTGAGCAGACAGAAAGATGTCCGAGTTTCCAAGCTTGCATTCTATCTGTTGGCTGCCTATATAGCCAACCTCAGTTGCTCAGGGAAGCAAATAATTAGACCCAAGGAAAACAAAACCAAAGCCCCTTAATTTCAAAGCAACATGCCTCCTGCTAGTAGCGATTCTGCCAAGTCAAACCTTAACTCTCGGAAGGTCATCAAATTAGAAAACAAGGTTAATAAGATTTCCTCAAACTCGAGCTATTCAGCTGAGAACACAGTGATGAAGCTAGCTCAATGCTCCTAAGCCCAGGATGTATGCCCCTGGTAGAACTAAAAGCATATTATACTGGGGGGAGACAGCTCAAACTGAGGGGAAAGGAAGAACTGGCTAAAGAACAGTGATATGTACCCCCTATTCCCGCAACTGCTTTTTCTTCCCCTCCTGCTGTTGATAATAAATCCTGATACAAACAAACTGCTCACCTGTTATCTGATAGTTTACACACATTTGGCATTTAGAAAACATCCTTCGGTAACAGGCTGGAGCCAGACAAACACAATTCACCCCAACAGGAAGGGTCCGTGTTAAAAACTTCTGGAACATCTCTCCCCCATCACACCCATGGCCACATCCCTGCACAGCTCTTTCATTTCTATGAAGATCTGCAGGTTGCCCTGGTGCAAACACCCCCACACCACACATCTCTAAAATTACTTAAAGGACACTCAGTATGACAGTATGTACCATTTCAGTACCTGAAGAGAGGAACTATTTCATGTATATCTTTCAGTTTCTTAATTTCTTCATCTCGAGCTGGAGCACAGAGAGTCCCCATCATTCCAGTAACAAATTCTATCAACTTAGCAATGTCCAGAGCCCCATTTTTGGCCTCCTGTTTTATCAAATCCAGATCAAGAACTTCCATAATCTGGTTTCTTAATCTTGTATGACCAGGAAGTAAAAAAGACAGAAGATTCTGAAACAGAAAGTTTTTAACAGTGTATTAGTTCTCAGTGTCACACAGCAGGGACCAAAGCAGTAATTGCACCACTTGTCATTTAAACTAACAGCCATCTGAGAGCAGAATTGCACTTTTCTGAACAAGGCCACAAAGTCATTTGTCAGCTCCAAATTCAAATGTCTCCCCTCACTCTTTGTGACACGAAGTCACTAAGTGGTAAGTGCTTTGTAGTACTGATCACACTTCAGACTATTGCACCTGGCTCTGTCCACTCAGTGCTGGGACATCTCAGTGATTCCATACCCAACGTCACTGTCATAACGTGGAGGAAACCTGGAAGTATGAAACCCACCTTGATTCATTTTACATGCTTTCCCATTTGTTTGCACATTCAAGTCGCTCTCCTCAGCTCACACAATTATGTGCAGAGAAAATCAGACAGTAGTGAAAACAATCAAGAGCCTCCTTTATGAACAACCAAGCTTCTAACTCCTTTTGCCCATTCCCATCAACCCATCTATAAAAACTCAATGATTTACTTTGGTAGCACGTGACCTTACCTCTTTAATTTCTCCCAACAGTTTAATTGCGTGGTCGTATGTCGGTGGCTCTTCCTTCAGCTGAGCTTCCAGACAATCCCAGAAAACTTTGTGCACAATCTCTCTTACTTTTTTTTCCAAGCTGTGGGTAAGTAAGATCAGTTCAAAATAACTGTATTAGTGTCTGCACCACCACATGCAGGTACCTGCAGCTCCCGAAGAACAGCATGCAGTAATGTGAAGATAATGTAATGGTGACTATCTGAGGACTGACAGAGAAGAAAACTATCATTTTGTCACTCAGGCATGATAAACTAGGCACAAAATTTGGCATGGCTCATACCCTAATAAATGGTTAGACACAAGCAAAGAAGGCTACCAATTAAAATCCTTGAAAGTACCTCTGAAGTATAGCGCTGGAATACTAATAAAAACAGATAAAAATTATTCCTCATCTTCAGAAGGACAGTATTAGCATTCCTTTGACTAAGGAAAATTCATTAAGGAAACATAACAGAAATGAAGCAACTTGTGTGACATGAAAGCTTTTGCACTTCAACACATAAATACGGCCATTACCCTGAGTTAAAGCCTCCGTTCAGTTCCTATAAACAACAAACAAATTCCAACTGCTTTCTCCTCAAACCACTTCCCTACACAAACATTCAAGCTGTGGGAGACTCAAATTATACATAACCACAAAAAAGCCATTATTCCAAGGAAGATTCCAGAGTGCCTCTTCAGCCAAAACTTTCACTGAACAGAGGGATCTTGTACTAGGAGCAGTCCTGGCAGATCACTACGCTGAGGCACTCTTGGTAAGATGATCTCTGCAATATATCTGTTCCTTTGATCTGGTGAAGAGATGCAAATCTGACACTGTGCTGAACAACTGCAGCCACTGTTCAGAATCTGTGAGAAAAGCAACCAAGTTACTGAAGGACTGGGTTGGTTCTCTCCCTCTCACCCCTCTTTTTTAAGGGAGGTGGAGAGAAGAACACACGGAAAGAAGAAAATTTGTTTAAAATTCTTCTCCCCTGAAAAATCTTGAGATAAATTTCATGGTATTTCATGGTATTGAGGCATACCAGAAAACTTACGCACCATCGCTGCACTTTTTCAAGTGAGAAAACCGTAAGAAGGAACAAGGAACAAAAGCAGACACTGAATTGAAAAGCACTGCTTTAACTGTGACATTTTACATCAAGCATTCATCGTCAGCCATCACATACAAGCAGAAGACACCTGTCAGGAATCCCCCCAAAAGATGCTGAGACAGAAGACAACACAAAACAGGGAGCTCTGCATGCCTTCGGTATGCTTTCCAAACACTTCCATCATAGAGAGAGGTGCCAGCTCATGGGACCATGCATGAATTGTACACAACCTGTATGAAATGTGACAAACAGTGACTGGACAACAGTGCCCGAGCCTGTGATGGTGCTGAGAGCACAGAGCAAATCGGTGCCTGAACTCTAAAATACGAGAGTCTCTCAAAAGTGGAGTAGCTAGGACACTCAGACAATGCTGTTCCAGTGGTCCAAGTCTCTCCCAGTAAAAACATCCTCACTTTCACAAATTAACCCAAGAAACACACTGTCAGCCACGTCTCTCTGTATGGGGAGAAAAACAAAGCAAACAAAAAAACCCAAACACAGCAGAACAGCAGACAAAGCATCTGTCAATAGGACTGGGTTTGCTGCACTGGGCAGTCTGGGACCAGACATGAAAGCCACTTCTGTTCTGCCTCTCTTAGTGGGGGACAGGACTACTGCAGGTCAGACAGCAGGAAAGACTCCAGACTAAAAAGGAATAAGGCCTAATCTAATAAAATACAGAAGTCTCTTCAAAATACATAGATGTGTATCCCTGGAGAAACAGACATTAGATTTAAAAAAAAAAAAAAAAAAAAAAGCAAATCTAAAATGATCAGTTTCATCTTATTCCCACCTGCAGGGAAAGCTTAAGTGATGCTAAGAGCACTACCTGCACCTGCAGCTAGACTTGCATATTTCAAAGTCTGCAGCTTCAGGCTCCCAGGATAAGGGGACACTGGCAGAAACCATACTGCAATTTCCACAAAACATGCCCCAGCAATTACTGAGGAGTTTCACTTTCCACATTCACACATTCCTGAGGAAACAGAACTGCATGCTTACCTTCTTATGCTTCTTCCTAAATCTTCCCTAGCAGGCACTGTTGGGCAGAACTAGCCAGAGCCTTTATTTCATCCACTAGAGTTATTCCAAAGTTACACAAATGAGAATTGATTTAATATATCTACTTGGTAGCAATCTTACCTGTGTTCTGGTAACTCAGCTGGTTTGATCTGGAAGTCTCTATTAACAACAATCTCGTGTACTAGTGCCATGTTGGTTACTCCCTTAGCTGTTTCCATTAACTCTTCCACTGACACGGGCCGAGGAGGGCTAGCTACAACACACATTAAAGTGTCAGACAATTAGCTAGGGAAATCTGCAGAGAAGAGCCTGCTGATAACAACATCTGAAGAAACAAACAAAAAGCCCCAAAATATTTATTTTGAATTGCTTAACTGCATCTTTCCCTCTACACTAGATGATGAGATGATAAGAAGACTAGCATTGCCACTGCACTATTCCTCTAATTACTGTGTAGACATTGTCATTTCCATTTCATGCTTTTCAAGTGACTTTATTTCTAAACCACCCAGCAAACAAGCCACCACTGATGTTAAGCAATAATTATTCCCTCTACTTTCAGTGCGACTGGCACTTCTCCAGACTCCTTTTTCCCCCCCCAAGTGACAAAAGATCCTACAGCAGGCATTGGGATAAGGATGGACAAGCAGCTTCAAACTGGGCCCTGGAGGACACAAGTGAGCAGAAGGAAGCATCACACCTGAAAAAAACAGGTCAGCTTCCATGAGGTAGGAGACAAAGGAAGTGGCCAACTGTAGAATAGCCTGTGAAGTCAAAAGAGAGACAGTGACACTGACAAAGGAGAAGGCTACAGTACTGGTGTCCTTGGGTGAGGCAGGCAAGAATAGCAAGGTTTATCTCTGCTGCTCCACAAAACATACAGCTGAACAGGAGGGAAACACCTCTACAGAATTGCTACAGTTGAATTGCTTCCTCTCTCTGTAATTCATTCACTTCAACTGCAGTACAAGCACAGGAGCAATGTATTAATTCCCAACATGAAAGAAACCAACCAGGCTGGGTTTACTGAGATGTTTCAGAAAAACCAGCATGGCTGCCTCATTTGAAGATCCAGTTTGATTGGACTTAAACTAGTAACATAGAAAAGGTCCTTTAAAACTAACTGCCCTTCACTTGTCTGCCTTTCAAAGCTGTTCCAAGTACATACAGCATAGTTCCAAGAATACATGCAGTGTTCTAATTTTTCATTACCATCTCACTCTTTTCATGCAGCACTCTCAAACCCAGATTTCCTTCTGCCTGGAGGTATATCTTGCACAGTGACTCTGGGAACACAGCAAGGATTGATATCCAGAGAATTACCAGCAGCACAGCGAGCTTGCAGCTGAATGAGTGCTCTCCTGTCCAGCTGCCAGATGACTTCACTCAGTAGACACACTCAAAACTAATAGACTCTTTCATTTACCAAAGAATGCTCTTAAATCATGTTACTTCATTCTCATATTATATCTGCTTCCTCCCGAAAGAAAAGCGCTTGAGACCAATGACTTTCTTGTGGTACAATGGAAGGCAAGACAAGGCAATGCATTTCACTTTCACATGTCCATAGTCTTCCTCCGTAGGGTACATCTCCAGTGTGCAACATGACTCTAAGCAAAACACTGAACTCCAGTAATAATGAACACTGTTGCAATAAAAAAATAATGCAACAAATAAAATGTTACATCCTGGGACTCTCCAGACAGAAATCTGGGGCTAGTTACGTGAGCAATTCCATCTCTTTGATCTCAATCTCTGGAACCAAATAAACTTCCCCTTTATCTTATCTATAGATTTGCCAGAAGTAATTAGAGATCTTGCATCTAGTTTCTGATGTTAAAAGCAGAATGACAAAGAAAAACATGCCCTAGGAATAAACCTGCAGTATGACAGTCCTGAAATCTCCTTGTCAGCAGAAGTAGCATTAGGATTAAAAGTGCAACTTTCCACCTGTGTGTGTCTGGATAAGAGGGGAATAAAATGACAGGGCATGATTTTGTTGATGACGGCCTTCCCTGCCCTCTGGCAGAAAAAGAGGCTGCAACAACCCAGAAGGTTTGGCTGATCATGCAAACAGCAGGCATCAGTTTGGCTACAGTATACTGGAGTAGGGCTTATCCTTTCTGTGAGTGCAGACACAGAAAGATCTCAGACATATGTGGCTCAGAACAATGTGGTTATTGTGAACAATTCAGTGCTAAAACAAAATGGAGGAAAAAGCACTTGTTAAAAGCAGCTTCAAAGCAAGCGATCAGGAGTTGTGTAATATTTAATTGCAAAACAAACCTACAGAGAGTACTATAAAACTCCATCACCATCTCCACTGCAGAAGACACAGAATTGTACTTTTTTTTTTTTAATGAAGGGCAGTTGTGCTTACACTTTGGTGTATCATCTCCACATGAACCTGGAACACTTTGTTGTATTCTCTTCCTGACAGACTGCTCCGAGTTGTCCAAGCTCTCTTGATCATCCTCCAAGGCACTCAACTTTTCTTCGCTTGAATGCGGCTTGTGGGGATTCTGAGACATTTTCAGTTGTTTCCTCTCAGAAAAAAAAAAAAAGAAAAAGAAAGATTAAAAAGGGAATGAATAAGCATTTTATAACATATAACGATTTATAATGTGGCTGAGTGAGAAAACATCTTCAGTTCTCTTGACTGAGAAAAAAATTGAGAATAAAGGAAATCTTATGAGGAATTACATGATGTCATTCCCATAATGGCAGGGGACCTGGACTAAGTGACTCACTTCCCATCTCACACAGAAAGAGATGCTTTCAACACAGCTACCGTTCACTTGATCTGTATTGCAAGCGAGTTCTGAAAAATCTGGAACTCTTCCCCTGCCTCACCTACTGCATAAAGATGTGACAGAAAAAGATACTGAACGAGCAGTGAAAAACATCTCCTAAGAGTATTACAAACATGTTTGGCCAATTGATTATGCCAAATGAGGTATTTATCTATCATACACACAGAGAAGCATTCTGAACTCAACATCCTCCTGAACTGTGATCTGTTCCAACCTATCAAAACTGAAACGCCCTCACTCCACGCTACCCATGTGAATTAAGAAGCTGAAGAAGGACTCGGGGCAAATATCAAATCATTCTCCTGCAATTTCATTCCGTGCAAGAGTCATGGTGATGCATGCTGGCGATACAAGAAAGATTTCTTAAAAAAAAAAAAAAAAAGATAAATAGTAAATAACAGTAACAGCAATTAAAGCACAGGCATAGTAGATGCTAAATAATGTCTATATTACATCACAAGCACTTGCAGCATAGTCCACGATGCACTGAAAAACTGAACACTGGAAAAGCATGTTACCTTCACTTGGTTTACAGTCAGAAATAATCTGCACGTCTTACCTCTGAAAACTCAGTATTATACAGGAGGCTACCATTCTGACTTTGATTTTAGGAAAGGCTGTTTGACAGCATATGAGCTCTCTGGAGTAGAGTCAGGAAAAGCCTTCCAAAAAAAGGAAGCTCCTGGGAAAGCACCACCTTCCTCTGTCACCAACTGCCTACTTCTCCAGCAACCACCACTTTCCAAATACAAAAGAAAGAAGCTCTCAACAACAGATGCAGCTTCCAAAGGCACCTCGTAGCTTCTAGAAGAAAAACACTTAGCAGTGTCAAGGACTGCATCCAAGAGGACGCAACACAGACATAAACAAGCAATCACACAGGAATATAAAACGCACAGACGTTTTTTTCTCCATACAACAGCTGTAAGAACTAACCCTACTCCATCAGTGCTTCAATGAGTGCACCATTCTGATTCTACAAGACAGCCAGAAGACTTGGCATTTAAAAAATGTTTTCCTTCTACAGCAATGACTCAGGATCATCGTCTGGCAACGACACACAGCAACACTTGTCTACAGAGATGCATGATTTTTATTTTAGACAAGAAAGTAGAGCACAAAAAGCATAGGATAAATCTACGCAAGAAATCTAAGGCATCAGCGCAGGTACTGTTAGAGGCACATATCAGCCCTCTGCTCTGGCTCACGCACACAAGCACTGATGTCCCAGCTGTGAGCTCCCAATCCTCTCTGCACTCACAGAGCATCTCAGGCAGCAAAGGGCAGCGCCAGTGAGTGCAGAGCTGCGGTCCCATCGCCAGCCTTTCTCTAAAGCACGCTGTGCTTCCCTCTGGGTACAGCATCAGCTATCCAAACCAGCACAGCACAAGCAGGGCTGGATCTCCAACCTACACAACAGAAGGTCTGCTACTGCCAACGCTCCAGCAGCAAGATCTGGCAATAAAGAAGCCATTACAGGAAGACAACAGCAACAGCTGAAGCAAAAAACTTAATACGTGACAGGTGAAAGGGAGCAGAGAAACGCTCGAATCAAAGCATTTTCACAGGTGCTTTCAGTTTCATTCCACTGGCCTCAGCCACTCTTCCCGCTCTCTCCCACAAGGCACGAAATGAAGATGGAGCACGGCGATGACTCGACTCCCCGACACACGCTTCAGAGCTCGGCACAGCCCTCCCGGCGCCGCCTTCCCCGCCCTTCACAACGAGGCGAGGCTGGGAGCTGCGGGAGCCCCGCCGGCCCGCAGCCCTTGGGCAGGCCGCCAGCCGTGCCGCTGGGCCGCGGCTTCCTCCACGCAGGGCACGCCTTATAAAGCGCCTTCCAGCCCAGAAGCCAGCGGCTTTACTGAGACTGCCAAAAAACCCCCCGAGCGGACAACCCGCGCCGCGTCCCAGCGGCGGGCAGCAGGCGGGCTGCGGGCCAGCAGCGCGGAGCCGGGCGGGCGCACTTGTTGGCTCAGCCGCTCGCTCCGCAGCAGTCCATCCGCTGCCATCGTTCGCCCGCATAAACGAGGCCCACAGCGCCTGTTCCAGCGGCACGGCTTCCGTCCCACGCCACCGGCTGCCACGGCGCAGCCCGGTTCTCAGCAGCTTCCTCTAACAGCAGGAGCGCTAAGCGCGGCCCGAGACGCCACCGATCGCCTCCGCAGCCCCGGCCCGCCGCCACGCCTTCCCTCCCCCCGGCCCAGCGGCCCCGTTTAGCGGCCCCGTTTTCCCGCCCCGTTCGGCGCCCCCGGCCCCGCCCCGCGCTCCCCGCCCCGCCGCCTTACCGTCGCACGCCGACCCCGCAGCGCCGCCGCCACGGCGTAGGGGAGGGCCGGGCCTCCTGCGAGCGTTCGCCCTGCGGCCGCCCCGAGCCGGCGGCCCCGCGCCCCGCCCCGCGCTGAGCTGCCGCCTGCTCCGGCCGCGTGCCCAGAGCGGCGCGAGCCGCCAATGGTTCGCGCGGCAGTAAGCGAGGCAGCGCCCAGCACCGGCGCGAGGATGGCCACAGCCGAGGAGGAGCGGGCCTCTAAGGACGCCGTGCGTGTCCTCACACTTGAAACTGGCACTGGTGCCAGCGTGCGATGGGCCTACATACAAGGAAATCCGAAGGCCTTTCATTTGTTCCAGCTCTTTCCTAATTAGAGCGGGTAACAAGAAGCAAGGTGCTGCAGGAAGGAAGACCAGAGAAGTTAGGGCTGTGGCAACTGGAGCCGGACTGATGAAAAATGCAGTGTTGTTACAGCCCAGCTAAGTTAGCAGGGCACAGAGTGGGATTCAGCTGGGGAAAAGATGTCAGACATCTTCCATGGCACTTCCTCAGCATGGTGCCATTTTAGTCTAAAACAGCTAATGATTTGTCATATACACACAGAGTGTGGAGAGGTGGCAAGCTTGAAGAAAAGCAGGGGAAGGTAAAGCAGACGTTACTGCAGCTCTGTTACACAGACCTGTGGGTCACACATCAGCACAAGACAGTTTAGCTACAAGGCCAGCAAAGGGGAGCAGGGGACTGTAGGAATGGAATGTTGTTTCTGCATTAGATACTGAGAAGGGGGAATTGATCTGAAGAAGTAGAGCACAATGCATTTGTATTTTGTAACTTGGCCTTAGCTGACGTGAAGAAGTAGAAATGCCATATGTTACTAACATGCTTCAGAAGTAGAGTTGCTGAATTATGTGATTAATTCTTGCTTGCAAAACTGCAATAGTTTTTTAAATCAGTTAGTATAGGTATAGTATTATAGATTTCTATTATATATAGAAAGCATACTGTAGGGCTATTCTGTTTTTCTTTTGCTGAGGGGCTCTTATCCAAACACACTTAACAGACATCAAAGAAGCCAGGCCCTCTACACAAGGCTGGATTGCCTAGGATGCAGCAGGTAGGCATGAAGATAGTCCCCTCTGTTCTCCTTCCAAGCTTATCTCTATGCAAGGACGAGCAGATGTCCAGAAACAATGACTGAGTGTTGGATGAGCAACTGTGAGAAGTTAACTAATTAGCAATATGCACTTAGCTAGCAACAATTTGTTTATCCAGTATCTGTATGTTCAGTTGAGCATCTGGAAGATCGTGAACCTGAAGTACTCAGCCAATAAGGAACCAGGGGAGAAAGAGAGAAGCATCAAGTAATAGGGCATAAAAGATGTAAGGCTGTTCTCTGCATGTTCTCCTGCTTGCAGGAGGCCTGCTATTGCAATTGCAAATAAAATGTGCTTTATCAGAGATACCGTCCTGGAAAATTATTTGGATATTTCCAACAGAACCAAACCTGGTCAGCTTACAGTTCACTAGCCAGAAAAGAAGAGATCCCAGCCCTGAAAAGGCGTTTCCCATTTTAACGCTTCGATAGAAGTCATCCATCGAAGCGGCTTCAAGTGAGGAGAACAATAAAAGGAGTGTTTGGGCCCTACAGCAGCTAAGAATGAGCAAAGAACCGATGAAGCACAGGCCAAACCTGGGTACCACTGGCTTCAGTAATAATTTACTTGCATAAATCCTATCAATTTCCATAAAATAACTTTATTAGACATATGAATACAAATGATTTACAAATATATTAGTGTTTTCAATACTGCAATGTAGAAAGCAATTTAAAAGTCACACGCACATATTACTAACTCTGTCTCCAAAATACTGCATAAAAATACTTGGATTACTACTATGAAACTGACCTAGCAGTCTCTTTTTCTCTTTGTCGGAGAGCTTTGAATCTTCATCAATAGCTTTCAGCAGAGATAATAGCTCATCTTTTGTGGTCTTCTCTGTGTTCAAACGATACTCTCTTTCATCAAGCTTTTGGCAAAATGTGTAACCTAGGAGGAAACATGAAGATGATTAACACCAGTCAACCACCTTCCAGATTCCACAGACCCACCTTCCTTAAGAAGGAAATTTGTCTAGTCATTGTTACAGCAAGTATTTTTAACTCGGCTCAGTCCCTTTTATTTTGCATCTGTGTATGTGATAAGAAATTGTAAGATAACACTCACCTGTTATCTTACTAGGATCTTGGCCTTCCTGCAAAGCCACTAATTTATTGCTGACCATTTTATGCAGTGTCCCTGGGATCTTGAATGAAGACAAACAGCAGGTTAGAGAAAGCAATTCTGCACAAGCATATGAAATAAAAGTCTGGTCGCTGTCTAGCTCTTACCTTTAAGACATCTTTTTGGTGGTCCACAAGGAACAAGATCAGAAGGTCCATTTTCCCTCTGGATAAGGATTTATTGTTGATAATAGCTTTAGAGAAAGTTCTTTTCACAACCATCCTGTTGTCACTCTGAAGAATAACATGGAAAAAAATGGGAAGGCTTTGCTCTTCTAGAATACTCTTCCTTGTAGCCACGTGCTTTCTGACCTATTTTCTGGGATATCTAGATTTCAGTAAATGTAAAGCAACTGATAACAGTTAAGTACACACATTTACCTCCTTCTGTAGTTTGAGCTCGGTGTTATGGGCAGCAACAGCCATAAAATACAGTAATCTTCTGAACTCCTCCCTGATTTGACTGTCTAGAAGTTTTAAATAGAGTTGGATAGCTTCTAGAGATTGTTCCATCTTCCCATTCACTGGAAGAAAGTAACGGTATATGTAAAAATAAAATACAGCAACAGACAAAACACCTGAATTGGACACTGAAGAGTTCACTTCTCTAAACAAAAGAATGAAAAAAAATCCATTCTCACAAAGTTCTCACAGGCACACAATCTAGAGAACAGCCCACCCCCAAACTTTTAGCCCAGTATTTAAGTTGGTGCACTTCCAGTTAAGCTCAATTACAGTTCAAACTCCATCCATTTTAGCTGTATCTATTTTAAATTGCACTCACCTTTTCTTTACTACATAGACAGGAACAACAGAATATAAGTGCAAAGTGTTTTGTGTTGTGGGAATATCTTCTTTATGAACAGATTAAAAAATAGCTCTGCAGAAGGCAAGCTTTGTGCTTGGCTCACATGAAATGCTCAGCTTGTTAGTACCTACCCACCTCGCATAAGCTCAGTAAGTCAATCTGTGCTCACCTAGTAGTTCTGCAATTCCTGAATGAATTTCAGGTGCGTGGCTCAACAGTGGCTCCTTTTTCTGGCCATAGTATCTACCAATATTTTCAAACAGCAGTAGTTTCCATGCATCAGCTTTATCCAGTTGATCGGGCAAGTTCCTGCTGATGTCTACCACCATATGATCAGGAAGATATTCCAAGCAATCTATTGCTGATGAGAGCCATTCATCTGTCCTAAAAGACAAAGTGGTTCAACTCTGCAGTATTACTTACTGGTGCCTGTGGAGGTGGTTGGGCTCCACCACAGCAGTGAGTAGGCACCACATGGGCAAGTACTTGAATTCATTACAGATTGGCACAAATAACACTTCTGCTGACCCACTCACATCACAGCCACACGTCCCTTTGTTTAGCTGGGCAGGTTACTAATTACTCATCTTGATTAAATGATAACAGTCAGAAGCAGTTAAACCTAAAGTTAGTGACGTCCTCTACTGTTATAGACAAGGACAAAATTACTGCTAGATAAACAGAAACCTGAGCCTTGATCTGATTCCAAGAGGCAAGGTTTTTCAGCCTGTACTTCTAAATGTATTTATACAGTTTCAGGATCAGCTTTCTTTCACTATTTTAAAAAGGCTAAAATGCTAATCCTCTCACTCATCCTGTTTGTTGTTTTATTTATTTTTTTTTTTTTAAAAGGAAAAACTGTAAAACTGTTTCTTCCCCCCCCCCCAGTACATTAAACACATCTCCCTCTATCAAATCCTATAACAGTCTTAAAAACTTCTTCCAGCATGCAGCAGAATTTGCTTCCAATTCAATTTAGCAATTGCTCTTTACTACTGGATCCAGTTTAACAGGTAGAAAGGATGTGAACAGGCACACTTGCCTACAGTACTGGAGACTATTACTTTTCTACTTAAGATTGACTGTGACTGACATATGTATGCAACTTTGAAAAACTTTCTGTCCTGGGAGGTGAGCAATGAAGACTTACTGTGAGTCACTGAAAGCCTTGAGAATCTCTCTGTCCAAGTAGTTGCTCGTGATGACATATCCAGAGTCCTTCTTTGGTTGTGGAAGCTGAGGCTTGACTTCCTGGTGCTCAAGCAAGGAGTCAAGGAGTGGAAGGTCTACAAGCTGCAGCAGACGAGCAATGGTTTGTTCTCGCCAGACCTCATTAATAACTGGAAAGGGTGGAATACACAAAACACACAGAGCAAGAGCGATAAAGAT